GTCCCAACGTAACTCTGCTTAATTGAGATCAGCCAAGGCTGCTTAGATGCTATACCTAAAGGGCGATACAGATAAATATGCAATATTGGCAAGCAACAGCACTTGGTTGGGACACTATTAGAAAATATCTGGGAAGTAGAAAAACATCCTAGAAGGCAACATTGGCAAACTAAGTTCATACTATTGTCAAGGAAATTTCAGAAGATGCTCCCAGGAAGCTTTACTTTTTAAAGGGCTACATTAGTTTCTAGTTTGAAACTTCATCTTTGCATGTCAATAAGACTCTTGACACCAAGATAGACACCCCAAACCAAGGCAAGTCTAGCTGGGTAGTGGGCCATCTCTATTTCTGGCCATGGGGAGCCTCCTTCGCTCCCCTATGTGTTAAATGGGCTTCATTCCTTTGAGGCTCACCTGCCCCGATCACGACAGCATCGTACTCCCGCTTCAACGAGGCTGCAGGCCGCGAATGGCTTGCCCTGCAGCCCGCCAAAATCCGGCAAACGCCAATCGGGCCCAGGCGGCGACCGTGCCTGCTTGCCATCTTACACGTACTGAACTTTGCATTTCGGATCGCACTTTCGGGAGAAGAAACAGGGGAGGTCCTACGAGCTTTCAGGAAGGCGGGGAAGAGGAGGGAGGGGGAGTGCCCGGAAACCGTCCCGAATGCACAAGTCAGTAGTGCAGAGAGAGGGGAGAGTTGTTGCTTAAATCTTTCCGTGTTATTGTGCTTCACCACAACGCGGTGTCCCAGGAAAACAGTCCGAAAGTTATTTGTGACATAATCCAAAGCAGAGTTGCTTTCCAGCTCGAGTCCACCAAATCAGTTTGGTCTCACATCAAGTCCACCAAATCAGTTTGATACCTGATACAGAGCATTTTGAAAACACCTTTCGCCCCTCCCAGCATTACATAGTAATAATCATGAATAGATAATTAACGAATCTCTTTATTTATTTATTTTTTATTTTTATTTTTATTTATTTATTTATTTGATTTGCCAATTGTTTACAAGATAATAAGTATAAGTGTATACATAGTTGTGAATACATGAAATGGATACATATAAGAAAAATAAAAGAAGAATAAGAGAAACAATAGGACAGGGACGGTAGGCACGTTGGTGTACTTATGCACGCCCCCTACAGACCTCTTAGGAAAGGGGTGAGGTCAATAGTAGACAGTCTAAGGTTAAAGTTTTTGAGGTTTGGGGAAGAAACTACAGAGTCGGGTAGAGTATTCCAGACATTGACCACTCTATTGCTGAAGTCGTATTTCCTGCAATCAAGTTTGGTGCGGTTAACTTTGAGTTTGTATCTATTGTATCTTTCCAAGACCTCATATCACCTTTCGCCCTTTGGAAATGTGAAATGACGAGGAAAGTATATTCTCAAAGGCACTTTCCTTGACTTGGGACCCTTCTCTTTCAGCTCCGTTCAGCTCTAGATTTTACAGCCAGCGCACACAACCTGAAGGAAGGCTGTTTTCAAGGGACAGAGAAAGCCCTAAGGATGACTTTAACTAAGTGGCAGAAAAGGTGGCGTACAATGCACATATTAACATGAACTCAAAATCTTGAGACCCTTTACCTGCAACCAAGCAGAAAACGACCTGATCCAGACTGGAGCATCGGTTCTCGTGTTTCTCAGCAGTGCAGATCATCCCAACCTCCCCCAGCTGGATAATCACAGCCTTTGCCAACATTTGCAGGATGCTGAAATTAAGAGGGCTTCCAGTCAAGCGTTTAAAGAAATAATTAACTTCTGATATCTTTTGGTATAATTACATCTTCCACTCGGCTCGCCTGGCCATTTTTCACATGATTCTGTGTTATCAGTCCCCACCCTTCCTTTTAAGCGGTGGAAGAATATTTCTGCTTTGCAGCGTTAAATGAAAATCTACCCACAAAGGGCTTTTTTTCCAGTGTTTAAAACAGATTGTTTACCCACGGATGCCAATGCAGAATATATCCCATTGCTTTATTCTTGTCAACCTTTAACTGCAGCACATTTACATTATTTCAGAAGGAAAAATGTTGCATCACATTCAGAATCCCAGTTATATTCCCCTCCACATAAGACCCTTTTTTCCCTCTTCCTCATTTACTATTCCATCTAGAAGTTCTAGAACAGTGTTCTAGGTTGAGGCTGCTGAGCATGCTCACTCCTTCCTGGGTTTTTTAGAGTGGGGAGGCCCTTTCTTTTGAGATCTTTTCTTGCTAAAGCTTGCATTCATGTCCTCGGGTTCCCTTCGCTCTACTACTACTTCCCTTGGGACTCATTTGGACAGCTCAGCTCTTCATTTGCATTCTTAACCATGTACCAACATATACCACTTTATTCTGCGTGACTCCCATCAAATGGCCTTCCATCTCATTGTCAGCCTATGTATGGGAGAGTGATAAGTGAGTGCTCAACCTATAGCAGTTTCCAGATGTATGAAATCTGACATGCTTTGCTGACTATCCTGTCAGCAGGTCAGATGATTGTAAGGGGTGAAGTAGCAAACACCCATTAGCAACATCAGGCTTGTGTAGTGGTCACCATCTAATCCCTCAGGTTCCAATCTTCTCCTCTGCCACCATTCCTTTGTTCCATTTCCTGGCAGACAGTACTGGACATACTTACAACCCTGCTCATGGACAGCTGATTTGTGGCTGGCAGAGCTGTCAGTAACCGCTTGTTAGAAAGGTGCTTCTCTGCTTTATCACACTAGGAAGAACTGGGTTATCAATGCAATCTAGATGATATACTTGATAAGACAGGGACAGTGGTCAAGATTTACTGCCTCCTGAAACCCCCACCTGCCAATGCTTTCCTGTCAAAACATGAGTGTGCAGCAAAGCCAGAGGTTTCACCAGTTTGCCATGTTTATATATGACCTGCATGTGCAATATCAAGATACCACCATCTGGCAATAAACCAACCCAAGGGTAACAGATACAAGATAGGGTAGCAATAGAAATAGTGAATTTTATATCAGTAGTTTTCTGCAGTTATAGAACAAGTGACTATAGTAAAAGCACTGTAGAATTATTTCATTATCAATAAACAAATGTCCTGCCAAGAATTATAAATAAACCTTGGTTCTCACTTTCTTATACAGTAATCCTTATAAGCATAATTATCATTTTTTCCTGGCTAAATAGGCTGTCATATTGAAAACATGAAACAGACAAAATAGCTGCACAATATGTAGAAATTTCATCTTCCTACCAGAAACAGACAGAGAAATGTACTCATCTATCTAGTTATAAAATAATGCAGAACATGTTCTATGGAAAATGGCAACAACAGACATGGGTAAGAATAGACAAGTAGCTGTTTTGGATCAGACCTGAAATAAATTAAGTTCCATCGTAACCATCTTATCATGTTCCAGATGTGCTCAACTTCTACTGTAATAATCCTCTAGCCAATTAAGATTTTTTTTTTTTGATATTTCTGCCTTCCACAACTGATTCCATATCACTGGCCTGTACTGAAACAACAGTACCGTAGAGTCTGCATGATGATTTTAACCACAAACACAGCCCGGTTTGCCAATTTGCCTCAGTCTTGATTAGACAATTAGAATACTGAAAGCTCATGTGGTATAAACTATTAAAGCTGAGAATTCTTAGCTCTTTTTCTCTGGACATCATTTTCACTATGTCTCTTTTGCGTACAGGTTTTACAAACATTTGTAAATTGAAGAGGGAGAACATGGTGCTGGTGTATGTCTTCTGATTCCCTGCCCATCTTTTTGAAATTGTATTTAAAGAAATAAAATACATGGGAAGCTGACATGCTGCAAAGCAAGATACAGACAAAAAAAACCCCCACAAAAAGCCTCTGGATATATTTTTTTTTAATATGCCCCAGGATTTTCTATGGCTCTCAGGAATAAAGGCCAACTGATGCCCTAAGCATAGCCCAACATGCATTACCTTCCATTGCTTAACATACAATGTTAAAATTGATCCTTTTTCACACTAGTCAGTCACCATGCAAAAGGAAATATTTTTAATAATACAATTAAAGATGAACATGGCAGGTAAGAATAATTGCAAAACAAAAAAAACAAAAAAACCAAGAGAAACTGAATTGAATGTGGCAGTGAAATAATTAAGGGCATGATAGCTGTGGTATCCCATCCCCTTCCCTTGGGACTCTGAGCATATACTTAATTTGCTTAATACAGTGGTAGTCAACCTACCACCCACTAATGGGCGTTCCAGCTTTCATGGTGGGTGGTAGGGGTTTTGTCCCCTACTTTATAAATCACCATTACTGTGGAACCGGTGGGCGGTTAGAGAAAATTTTATTACTAACAGAGATACAAAAGTGGGCGGTAGGTATAAAAAGGTTGACTACCCCTGGCTTAATAGTTAATCCAAGGCTGTCTGGGCCCCATAGGCATTTGTAAAAAAATGCTTAAAAAACCAGAATGGTTGCAATATAGGACTGTTAATGGATATGTAGATACAAATAAGATTTTAAAAACTGAACTGGAGCGATAAGGGACTGATAGTATGATCTAGCCAGGGTGATGCACAGCACGCTCCTAGTTCACTTCTGTATTTTATAAGAGGCCTAAAATGGTATCTTTTCTGCTTTAAGTTATTGTATATTAGATTTCTTAAATTTAGGATAAATAGATAATGAAGTGCCCAACAAAATGAGGCACTATATACTAAACATGTAAGTTTACAAGCTGTGCCAAATGGGCTTCCAAGTCAAAGTTCTGGTATGCAGTTACAAGAAATTAAATCTTGTACTGCAAGTTCTCCAACACAAGTCCATATGTTATGTCAGTAGCTGTGCTCTGACATGAATCACTTTTGGTATACAACACAAGTTTTGGGACAGAGCTCTTCGATGTTGTAAAGGAACAATGAACACGTTGATCTCCTAGCTCTGAAAATCCAATGGAGGTCAGGTAAAAACATTGCCCAAGTTAGATCTGTCCCACTGAAGTAAAATCAGCAGAGACCTGAGATGCAACATAATCCAGAAAGAAGAAAATGGCCAAATTGCATTGAGCACCAGTCAAGCCCTCTAAAGCAAGGGGATGCGTGTTGGCTCCCAAAGTTGTTGGGCCAAGCTGCGTGCCTGCTGGATCATAAGTTCATTTGGCATGATGCCCAGATGGATAGTCAGCAGCTCATAGCATTTCACCACTTCATTGGCATGTTTCCGGCCAAAATAACGGAGCAGTTTCCTGTATAAGAGAGTCAGAAAATGTGGTGGTGAAAGGTAAATCGAGAAAGTTCTACAAAGCCTCAATGACCCTTCCAGCAAAAGACAAAAGCCCTACACTTCAATTATCAACAGGCTTACAAAAATTTAAAATATAGTCATACAATTTTAGGCAATTTAAAGATCTCTCCCAACGTTATGCAATGTAAAAGAAAAGTTACAAGAATGGTTACACCACCTTTCAACTTTATATCACACAAATATAACTACAGTATAGGTTTAACCTAATGCTGGAGGCCACACACTTCAAAGTTGTGAATTATACCACGGCTAGGAGGAAGAGGCAGTTAATTAAGCTGTAAACACTGTCCTTTTCATCTAATCACAGAGCTTGAATCAAATCCCTTCTGCTACCATCAGTATCTATGGAGTCAGAAACCTTGCTTACCTGTAATAATCACCTGCCAGTGTCCCAATGGGAACTGAATCATCAGAAAGGACTGGCACTTCCATAACCTCCAGCTTATATCCCTTCATGGAAACAGAAAGAAATTGTCAGGGAAAAGTTGTTTTGAACCGAAGCAGATGTATGTATTCTTAGTTCACAGCTAAGGAAGGCATCCTCATCCTAGTGCTGTTCAGAAAAGCTGGACTAAAGTCATCCATCTGTACTATCTTCCTGTCCTCGGTACTTAATTGCAACATTAGTTGTTCATCCCAAAAGCTGGGAAAGGCCAATACCTCATCAAAGAGGAGTATATCTGGTTTTACCGGTAGGTATCTGAAAGACCTGCAATAAATCAGGAAAGGTTTCTGATTCCAAGTTGTTTAAGCAACAGCAGGAGAAAAAGAAATTCTCCTTGGCCATACATTATACCAATTAAATAAAGAAACTATGTGTAGCAGTTGTGGATTTAATGAGGAAGGATTAATTTAATTTGGGTATACCAAAGCAAATATCTGTATATCATTTGCAGCACTCTGAAGAACGGGTCTTCAGCTTCTGTATCAATCCCTTTTATATACCAAGTTGTAAAATAGCATTCTTGTCCCTCCCCTTTCATCTGAACTCCAGGTTCCTCCACAATTACCAGCTCATTCTCAAACCAGAGGAAGTAGGTACAATAGTAATCTCCATCCCGGACCATCAGTGTAGTGTAGCCCTTCTGCAAGTAGCTACGAGCCAAAGCCACCAGTGACCATACCTATGGACCAAAGGCAGAAAAAGGAAGGTAAAAGTTTCCTTAAGAGTCAGCCCAAACCTCAAATTCAAAATCTCCCATTGAAATTATGTCCATGCAGATACTGGTCAATCACCTATCATTACCTTCTTTTTTATAAATTCAAGCAGAGGTCCTTTGCCTAATTCTGAAGTAGATTCCTCTGATATACCAAGTGATGGAGCCACCATTTGTCCTACTGTACGATCCACATAGATGAAATGCACAAGCCCTGGGAAATTTTCCAAATATGTGGATGAAAGCAAGTTAAGAACTTGGTTAAAGATAGGCATATTTCCCTTTTGGCTATGACCAGCTTGAACAGTAGACTTAAACGTTCACTCTCTAAACAATATTTAGATACTTCATAGAATTTGTGGAGTCAAGAGTTCAATCCCTATTTTTTAAAACACAGAATTGAATGAGTTTAATGTTTGTCTAGGAGTATGGGTACTTTCTTGCTGTATTTCTATTATCCTTCAACACCATGTTTTTATGGCTCTGTTCAAAACCTGAGAAACCTAGGAACTGTGCTCTTCTATTCTTGTTCTGCCACATGCCTATAACAAGGGAAACACTAAATAGGTCTTGTGCATGTGAAGATGAAAAAGAAATTCTTGAATTCAAGGCTGTTTTCCCAAGAAATTCCTTCTCTGCCAAGGTTGCATCCATACTTGTTTCGAAACAGTATTTTGCCCAGTGCTTCCCTCTTCCTTCTCTAGAGCCTCTCTACTTTCCTATAGGTTTTCCAGCATTCCCCACCAAAATGGAAACATGGGGAGAAAATGGTAAACATCAAAGGATATGACACCATGGTGACATTACGCTTGCTCTTCACCAGTAAGAAGTCTTTCCAGTCTTGGAGCTTGTCCCTGACAATACAAGAGAAAAATAAATAAAGTACTAATGTGGTTATGCACACAAGTCATGAACAACAGTGCTTGGCACCTAAAAATCCTGCAATCCACCAGACTCTCAGCTGCAATGTCATCTTTCTGCTCCTTCTCACTCACTGTGTGAATTGCTGCACCCGTTCCAGCAAGTTCTGAGGCAGGCCTTGGGCCCCTGGAGATCCAAGGAAGAGAAGCCGATACACAGCACAGAGCTGCCGCCGGACGTTGCAAAATGCCTGGAGAAGTCTGAAACAAAATAAATATCAATATGTATTCAGAACAGCTCTCACTCTAAATGTCATGCCTGATTTGGGTTTGCATTTTTTTCTACAATTACTTTTTATAAGGAGCATATCAGCAACCCAGGAAAACTAATTTTCCTTTCCTATTCCTAATATTTGAGTATGTATTTTCTTTGCTGCATGAAAGTATTAGCTGAAGTACTGAAGTACCCTTTAACTTTGGGGGGGGAGGGACATTGGACAAAACAATCTCTTATTTTGTTTAAATTATAGCATTCCAATTTTAAGCTTTAAACTACAGTTTTCATCTGCTTCCCACCTCAGGAAATGGTCTCCGTCCCTCCAGTTTTTAGCAATCTTAATCAGTTGGAGCTCTGAAAGCAACAAGTTATCCACTCCTGCTTATTCTATCTTTTACATTTTAGTTCTTGCTATGTGCTATATATAATTTTGAACATCTTTGTTTCTTCTTTGTTAATTCTTTTAAACAAGATATCTATTCTCAATATTCACACGTGCAAAATTTAAACTATCCCATACATGTATTCTGCTTGAATGGATGAATTTACTTGTGCACATCAGTCAGCAGGTGTGATAATTTTGACTAATACTCACTCCAAGGAAGTCCCAGGCTCACTGCGAGAGGAAATTTTCTTTAACTCCTGCCACGTATTCTGCAACTGAGGGACATAAAGAAAAAAAAAGTTTGCATTCAGAATCCATTGCACAACAGAGTTCAGCCCCTTTCTTATCGAAGAGGTCTCATCATTCCCAAGTGGGATCTCAAGCAACCTCTACTCCAGGGGTGTCCAACCTTGACAACTTTAAGACTTGTGGACTTCAACTCCCAGAATTCCTCAGCCAGCTTTGCTGGCTGAGGAA